ATCTCCATCTCCATCTCCATCTCCATCTCCATCTCCATCTCCATCTCTAGAGCTCTTTTTTAGGAAGGGGAAATTGAACTTAGATATCCTGCTCCAGGCTGATGAGACTCCACTTCAAACACTGGAAGCTTCCTGACTTAAAGTGTCAGAAAACCTGAATAGATGAACCACTCTCAGTCACACTTATGGAGAAGAGGGCTGTGTGAGTCAGAGCGTAGGGTACTCTTGGCTGGCAGAGACAGAAGGGGCTGAGGTGACCCAGCTCAGGCCCTTGAATGAGAAGTTGTCATAGCAATGAAGGGTCCCATCAAGCTAGACTCAGACCCAGAGCACACAGGGTTGCCTTTGGACAAAGGACATGGGGTCAGCAGACCTCTCCAGAGTCACTGCCTTCAGCAGTCTTGAGAATACAAAGCTGCAGCGTGTAGAGTCTCAGATCTGCACAAGATCATGGAGTCATAGAATGGCCTGGGTTGCAAAGGAGCACAGTGCTCATCCAGCTCCAACCCCCTGCTGTGTGCAGCCCAGGCTGCCCAGAGCCACATCCAGCCTGGCCTTGAATGCCTGCAGGGATGGGGCATCCACAGCCTCCTTGGGCAACCTGTGCCAGTGCCTCACCACCCTCTGAATTCCTTGTATTTAGATGTACAGAAAAATATTCAGATTAGGTGTACACTCCTTGGCACTTAGAGTTAATGAAGGATGGGCAAGCATTAATATGACTTTTCTATCAGACTTTGTTATTCCTTTATAGCAAGGAGAAGCTGCTGTAATTAGTGCATGAGCAGTCAAAGCTAACAAGAAAAAAGAAAATCAGAAATAAAAATAGTTGATTGAAGTTATTAGCAAATATTTTTGGTCGAAATGTGCTGCTCATCATGCCTATTATGAGTTTGTTGTTTCTTTTTCCCCGTCTGCAAATTATGTGCATAATATATTTGCTGATTTTTTGTTGATGCAAGCGTTCTTTGTTCTTCTGTTTTCAAACAAAAAAGTTCACTTCGCGTTTCCAACTTATTTACTCTGATAGTTCCTAACTGTCATACAATGTATGGTTCAGACTCTGGAATCAAAGCTTGTGTTAATTCTGCTTCCTAGGGAACTGGCTGCAGTTTTTAAAAGGGAATGATAGATGTTGAATGGGGGCCATTTTCAAACTCCACAAATTCATAAAAACTTATCAACCGCTTGGATTTTTCATGTGTGGTTACCTTTCAGTGACAGCACCCTGCGTGCCATAGCTGAGCAGCACAGCGAACACCAAGTCTTCATTTGCTGGTTAAGAGGACTGGCATCCTCAGCAGGAAGGGTTTCTCATGCCACGTGCAAGGAGATGCCCACAGGTCGACAGATTTTATGCTTCTTTCCTGCATTGGATAAAGTAGAAAAAAGAAAACCAACCAACAGCTAATTAATTAAATGTTAATTATCCTCAGAGTCATGGAAGTGCAAATTCAGCAAAGCATTTGGAAGCTCCTAAGAGTTGTTTTGTTCAAGGAGCTACTGAGCTAACAAAACTGAGTCTGAATGGGCATTTTCACCACTTGCAGAGATGTGACAGTCCAACCCGTTGGGATCTCTGCCCATCCTTGGTGCCTCATTTAAGTCTTTGTATTTGATGTTGTTATGCTGACTGTATGCAGGAAGTGCAAACCATGGGTTACCCAAAGTATGGGATGCAGACACAGGAATTTCCAACTCACAGCTTTGGCCATTTGTAACAGCATCACACTTCATGGGCTGGATGTGTGTAAATACAGGAGGCTAGGCAGGAGAATGCTGCTAATACATCCTGTTCTCAGATGCTTCTCACCCGGGTGCTCTTCATGGAGTGGGAGGGCAGAGAGAGCAGGAGACAACCCAGGGCAGCCTGGAAAACATTTCAGTTCACCAGGAAGCCAGCACAAAGAAGAGAAATGTCAGATAGAAAGGCTGTCTTCCAGTGCTTGCTGTCTTCCAGTGCTTGTCTTCAACCTCACTGTTTGCTTGTAACTGGTATTTTCTAGCTGATGTTCTCCTTGCAAGGGATTCTAGATGGAGATAGGATATATAAATGCACCTATATGCATATGTACTTAGGCAGACATATATAGAGGGATGGGGATCTTGAGATTGTATAAGTGGTATTTTGTATTCGGTACGTGAAAATATATTTGTATTTGAAGAACTTAATGGCTGATTCTGAAGCACTTGTCCAAAAATAACTATTGAACCAAGACTGTTTTATAGCAACCAATTTGCTGCCGTAAATGGTTGCAGTTCTGGATTGCTTCATGCTCATTAAAAGAGTGACAAGAAAATTCAAATTAGTGACTTGCAGTGTTATTTTGCTCTCGTACAGTAGGCTGATCAGAAAACATGAGTTACAGATGCTTGTCTTTCCAGGAAGATGGTGAGGAATGGTGATCCTCAGGTTGGCAGGAAGCCCTCCTGAGCGCTAAGCCTGCCCCTGGGGTGGCCACCGACTTACCTGCTCTACAGTTCCCATCTGAAGTGGTCAGACTGCCTTGTGTCTGCCTTACTGGGGGCTAGAGAATTAATTGTCTACTGCTAGATTGAATCACCTCGAATGTAAACAGACATCCCTGGGATCCTTGCTGTGGAAATGCAACCATCGTACTCACAGTGAGCTCTCTCACAGGGTTATATCTCAGAAGAGCAACTGTTAGCTAGGGCCTGATAATGATGTCCTTTCAGCCCTGCTGCCTACAGGAGGTGGCAGCAGGCAGCCTGCCTCTGGGCTGTGCAGGATTGGGAGAAGCCTCCACGCTGCCTCAGGGAAGAGCAGAGCTGTAAACCAGGGCAGTCTGTAGCCCTGGGCACGTCTCATCTCTTCCCATTGAACCAGCTGGCACAAAACTGTTTTGCATGTCCATGTTTGTTTCCACGTAGATTGCTGGTGACACTACTGGTTCTATTCGTGATGTCAGATTGATGTCTCTGTTTTCTCTTCTCTCAGTGCTCCCATAGCACAGGACTGAGGAAGGGATTGTAAGGACCTCCAGAAACAGATAACAAAAATTTATGAATTATTTTGGTTACTCTTCAGCTGTCAGCAGCTTTGCATAATTTAGACACTACAAATCCCTATTATTCATTTTGGAAGTAACAAATCTTTTATCAGTGAATGCTCTCTGATGGTATTTGAATAAGATCTCATCTTACAAAGATGTGCCAAGTATTTGCATGGGAAGTTTCAGTGACTTCCCAACCACAGTATGACAGAGAAAAGGAAGAATGAACCAAAGTTTTCATAAAGTCTGAAGATGCAAAATTGATGCTTTGTTAGACTAAACAGTTGTTGGTTTTTTTTCTTTTTTACACATTTCAGCCTTAAAAAAAGGACGTTTCTGGATCACTCCTGATCCATATCACAAAGATGACAACATCCAGATTGGGCGAGAGGTGAAAATCTCCTGCCAGGTGGAAGCTGTCCCTTCGGAGGAGCTCACCTTCAGCTGGTTTAAAAATGGGCGGCCCTTGCGAAGCTCTGAAAGGATGGTCATCACACAGACCGACCCCGACGTGTCGCCTGGCACCACCAACCTGGACATCATTGACTTGAAATTCACAGACTTTGGGACGTACACGTGTGTCGCGTCTCTGAAAGGAGGTGGCATATCGGACATCAGCATTGATGTCAACATCTCCAGCAGCACAGGTAAGGAGGCTTTCTCTGGTTTCAGTTTTGCATCTGTTGTAGGCAGCTCATAGCTTTCCTCGACTCCTGGGAAAAAGAGGTGAATATGCAGAGTGCTTCTCAACACTGGGATATCCAAGCAGGATATAAATGGTGAGCTGAGTTGCTTTGATTAAAAGAGTAAGTGGCACGTGATGCTCTCTTCCAAGAGCACACAAGGGTCTCATTTATTCAGATATGCCTGCTTTTATTGTAGGGAAAGTTATTGCTTCTGAAAAAGGATTTCGGCCTTTATTTTGGACTTACAGGCTGTCTGGAGTCATCAAAAATAGCTGGCAGGAAATGACACAGAAAAGTAGGCGGGTGGTTTTGTTAACCAGACTGAACCCATCCAGCTGCTCTCAATAAACAGCGAGTCCCAAGAACAGCGGAAGGAGCTCTCTTTTTTCTTAAGGATTATACACTGCTTGTTGGTGGATCATGAGATTCCCAACAGGGAAGAAGTTTGAGATGCCTATTATGCATATTTCCAGATCAGTGACTGAAATGTCTCTCTTTTGGATGAGCTAAAACCTTGGCTATTAGCTTGACTGATAATAAATGCCTTGTTGTGGTTGTGGAGTAGGACCGTATAACACAACATTAATTCTCAGCTTTTCTTTATCTCCTTGCTAATAGCTTGCTTATAACCAACACGTTTCTCAGGCTTTTTCCCCCAGTAGTGGAGTTCAATACCTGAGGTAGCCCATGTTAATATCATAAACTAGAGAGCATTCTGAATGTAGGACTTTTTCCTCCTGAAAAATCAGCTAAAGCCAAAAATAAGGGTTGGCAGTTGATTTCTACAGAAATAAAACAGCAAACAGAAACAAAGCAATGAACACTTCTGTTTTCAGAACACTATTTAATGTTAGAACACGGAGACAAAGAGTGTCAGAATTACAACTGCTCTCCTTGTTGTCTTTTATGTGAAGCTCTGCAGTGCTTCCCTCAGACTGTGCATGTCATTGACTGGGGTAAGGCATGCAGTGCAAGCTGTTTAGACATGAGACAACAAAGAACAAATTGAAAACTATTTTTGTAGCATGGAAAGAAAATGTTTAACAGACATCTTCTGACCCTTTTACCGAAAACATTCAAGAAATTGCTTTCTACTTTTTCAGAGAGATTAATTGCACTCTGTTGCATCAGATACATCCATATTTCCATTATTTAACTCTTCTAATATTGTTTTTGTTTCACAATACATATCATGTCTAAACAATCTCACAACTGTCATGATAAATTATTGCTTAGGCTGTAATCTTGAACCTGCCGTCCATCCTCAGTAAGACAGTGGTGCCAATAGGAGAATGGTTTTGCTTGCTGGTGTTGCATTTCAGCAAAGAGCTGAAAGAACTGGAGCATGCAGGGCTTCCTTGGGACCAGTGCAGTTCTGTGTAGGCAAACTGTCCTGGTCTGGTCCTGAGCAGACAGCTCAGGAGACCTCATTTCCTTGGTTCCTCCCAAGTTGGCCTGTAGGTTACAAGTGTGTTGCACATGTTTTATCAGTGACATGGCAGAGAGATGAATACGGAGGTGTTTTGACCTGTAATGAACATAGGGAACAAATAAACACAATGAACTCAGGTAACTCTGTGAGTCTGGATAGGAGATTTCTAAGGGAGCTGACCAGGGCCAATTCAGGGCCACTTGATCGTCTCTGAAAGTTCACAGTGTCCTAACGATGAAGACTGGAAACATGCAGACTTCAGCCTTTCTTCTAAAAAGGCAAGGAGATGTAAGGAAGCCCAGGCTGCCCAGCCCCACCTCAGTCCCTGTGACGGTCAGGGAGCAAATTGTGCCTGGCCCAACCTGGCTGCCTGCTGGGATGGAAACCTGGGGGTGGGCAAGGGAAGGGAGGGGAAGCTGTCAGCCTTGCCTTCAGCAAAATCTTGACAGCAGATTTTGTAGCTTCTTCATAGATAACTGGAGTCTAGTTTGCAGAGGTAGGATGAACTATAACTCATGTTGTAAAAATGAGATGCAAGGAATTGTGGTCACTGATGCAAAGCCAAATTTTGCAGCCGTGTAAGTGAACAGGCAGTCAGTGCTGATGCAGTTCACCTCTGCAGTATTTCCACCCTGAAACATAACACATGCATATATATAAACCTTGCAAGATGGGAGGAAAAAAACACACATTCCATTGCAAACAGAGGATTGTTATAGAGTAAGTGCCAAGTTTGCATGATGGGAATTGCAGCTGGATGATGGTTGAGGTCCCTTCCAACCCAAGCCGTTCTGTGATTCTATGATGTTTGCAAATTTTGTTGCCTGCTTGTTAGGATGAAGCAAGTGATGTCTGTGCAATCGTGCATTTCCACCTGGCAGAAGTGCCCACTGTATTATCTGTACTCACTGGGGATTCGTTGGATGGATTGGAAGCACCCGGTAGATGGCTGTACCTGTAACCCCATCAGAGCCCCACCAGGGGTGATGGATTATGTCAGCCCTTACAGACAGTGCCCTGCAATGCTCAGGAAGATCAGAGCTGGGAAAAAAGTCTTGCGCTTGGAATCAACCTCGTTCAGCATCTCTAAATTCTGCGTATTTGTGTGATTTCATTACCTGATTAAGTGGAAGCTGAAATAGTTTCAGCGCACATTTGAAGGTCGTTACTGATTCATCAAGAATCATTAGTGCCGTGGTAATTGCGAACATAAGGCCTGAGCGCAAACGTGTTTTTTTCCAAATGCCAGAACTGGCGTTGGAGGCACCAAGTTGTGCTGGGTGCTGCTTCGTGGGCTCTGGGATTGCTCCCTGTTCCTGCAGGGAACATTTATTGGCATGACTACCTAGGTGGTGCACACTCAACACAGCTCAGCTCCTCTTGGAGCACAGCAGGCTCCTCGTGGAACCACAAAGTCGAGCAGGGGAAGCTGCATCTTCCCAAAGGAGGCAGGAGAATGGCTGGGTCTCCAGTAGCAGCAGGCTGGGCAGGGACACCCAGGCATGGTGTGCCAGCCTGCTGGCATGCTCAGTGTCACGCTCCAGCAGGAATGTTTTTTCCCTTGACGTTTTGTATTTTCAGCAGGAAAGGCGTGTGAGTACCTTGTCTAAATGGACCTGAAATAATCCCCTTGCAGCCTCCCCACTACATCTCTATAAGTAGGTCACTGAATTGTGGAAATAGAGACTCAAAGCTTGCGTCTTTGTCCTCTAAAAGCCCTGCCAGCCATAAAACCAACCCTGGGCAAATGCTGAGTGACAAGACGGCTTTTCTGTGCGTGTGTGTGTGTGTTGTGGGGGATCTGAAGGCAAGAGAAGTGAATACAGAAAAAAAAAACCAAAAAAACAGCAAAATGGGCTCAAGGTAACCCAGAAAGAGGTGGATCAGAGAAGTGTGTTTGTCTTTCTTCATGATCGTTTTCTCTGCTTAAATATCATATTCAGAGAAGGAAAAATAAGGCTTTAGGTCACATCTGTTCCGCTGCGCTCAGTGTGGGTTCTTACTCTGTCCCTAAAATCAGTGTCAGTACTGCAGGAGACGTAACATCTGTCACTTCTGGCTTTTTCTCATCTTCCCCCTGGAGGCCGCATTGTGCACTGAAATGTGTGGTGCTTTCAAGGGGGTTATTTTAACTGCTCTCTCTGGATGCACTGCCCTGAATTGCTGTCAGAAGGGCTGGGTGAAGTGGCTGATGCTCCGGGCGGCAGGTAGCGTTGACCTTTCTTTAACTAAGAGAGCTCTTTCTACTGTTTCAGCCCAGAGTGGGTACAATTAGATACTCTACGTGGTAAGTAAGTCATCTCAATTCTGCATGCCTGGGTGAACCTGAAGCTGTGTTGAGTGTGCACCACCTAGGCAGTCATGCCAATAAATTGATTTGCATGAGTGTTTCCAGAGACAGGCAAAGTAATTCCTGAAGAACTACTGTATGTGATGAGAGATCGTGGCCTCAAGCTGCGCCAGGAGAGGTTCAGGCTGGGTGTTAGGAAGCATTTCTTCTGTGAAAGAGTGATCAGGCACTGGCACAGCTGCCCATGGAGTGCCCATCCCTGGAGGTGTTTCAGAGCCATGGAGATGTGGCACTGAGGTCTGTGGGCAGTGGGCATGGTGGGGTGGGGTTGGGCTTGGGCATCTTGGAGGTCTTTTCTGATCTGAATGCTTCTGTGAGGCCACATGTCTACCCTGCAGTGTGATGGGAGGGCTTCCCTGTTAAAGTAATTAGTTATTAAATTGTGAATTAATTAAATGCCCAGACATGTATTATAACATGTGGCCTCAATCTGTTTGTGAAGTACGTGTCCTCTGGTCACCTTTCTCCTCCTTTGATGATACATAAAAGAGAACTTCATTGTACTTCTAAATGTTTATTATAATCACAGCACAGCCTTTTAGCATAATGAAAAAATGCTTTCTGTGAGATAATTAGTGATCTAATAAAAATGTTTGTAAACCTTAAGCACTGTCCAGAGTGATCGTTCATGGGCAGCCCTGAGACACTTCAGGGGTACTACCAGAAAACAGACAGACTATTCACTATTGCAGCAAATTGATGATTTTTTTTTTGTGGGCCATTATCTTCAGAGTTTATCTTTGAAGGGAATAGGTGAACAGGAGGGACAGATAAATGCCATATTTTGTTAAAAAGCTTTTCTTTTATAGCTCTATTTTAGAGCACTTAATGTGCACAGATTTTTCTTTTTAATTTTATCGCTGGGAACCGCGGTCCCTTCCCGTCGCACCGCTTGCAGCAGGGCTGCCCGTGTGCTCCTGCAGCCTGCCTGCCTCTGTTGGCATCTCCATGCCTTCAGCCCCACCAGGACTGCATCCTCTGCGCTGTGCTCATCCCCTGAGGTCCAGCAGCCCATGCACATGCTCCCTTCTCAGCAGCATGCAAGGCTGAATCTCTTTGCTCTTCTCTGGAGGGCTGCGGTGTTTGGCTTGGCAACTTGCTTTGCATATGGCACGTGGAGCTCCTCAGCATGGCTCCTTTGAGGTTGCTGAGAGCTAATTTGGCTAATTTGCTGCTGGC